TATATATATATGTATATAGGTTTGGATCTTTATGGCACGCAACGTACACATATGCCAGATACCATATCCCATACATATATGGCCAGCTGACTAACTGAGTGGGCGCTATCTCAGAGCAATTTTTTATATTACTTATCTGCGATGCTCTATATAGACTTTGAGTGTGTGCGTGTGTGTGTTTGTGCGCTCTGTTTGACTTGTATATCATGTCTCAAGGTAATCTTTTGATAATCAAGCGTCACGTTAAGCTCTAGACATGCTGATAAACCGACAACGACCAACTGACTGAGCAACTACTCATATATATAACTATCAATTGCCATATACATATATAGTATTCATGCACCCATCGGCCATATGGCCAATTATAAGTGTCTGAGATTTAAAATAATTTATTTCTGTATGCGTTTACATTGTTTTTTCTTACAGTTCGCCTAAAATGCGCTTAAATTAGCGCAGAACAAAGTATTCTTTAAGCGACAGAGTGCTTTATAGACAGTATGGCCCTGAATCAGGGCAAGTATAAGCCGACAATTTGTGCCATCGATGAGGTGGACGATCGCAGCTACAAGCTGCACACGAGCCAGGATGACGAGCGTGTTGACAGCCACGGCAGCAAGCAGCAGATCGAGGGCAGCGAAACGGCTCCGTTGACCACCAATCAACAGAAGCTGCATATGGAGGAGGCTGGACTCACGCCCAAGGAGCTGGAGGCGGCACGCAAGGAGGCGCTCAGCGATGCCAGTGCGGTGGGCGGTGGGGTTACGCCTACAGCGAATACACCCAACTCGACGCATGCATCCGCCAACGGACTGAGAGGTGAGGCACCGACAGCGGCAGCAACAAAAGCAGCTGCTGCGATTAACGAGATAGAGAAACAATCACGATTCATTTCATATTGTTTTCTCTTTTGAAACTTACCCATATTTACAAATATTTATATCTAGTTATGTAACGGTATAATCATTAACGTTAAAAGATCATCGTATCATCTCTTGTGTTTATATTCTTCATGTAACGGTAACTTCCTGCAAAGTGATACTGAACGAAAAGCCTTAAACTCAGTAAATAACGCTTAACTCCATACTTAATCCCATAAATGTCATTACGATGCACATATAACATTCTACATCCAGACGTCATTTACCCGAGATATTCGAAAAAATCTTCAAAAGAGTTTTGATTTTCGAACCGACCCCGAGAAAAAACGTGATGCAGTCAAACTTTTTTGTGGATTTTTGGAATATCTCGGCCAAATAATGTCAGATTTGGGAATTTTATACCATTTTGGACTCGTAAGGATCAGTACTATCGATTGTGTTCGTACGGATCCCTACTATCAATTGGCATTCAAACATTTTAAAAATCGATGGGTAAAAAAAAAGTGGTTGACTAAAAACCGATTCGTTTGTAAAGTCAACCCGTTTTGATGATTTTTTGGATTATCTCGGCCAAACAATGTCCGATTTGGGAATTTTATATATGTATAATTAAAATCTAAATTTTGGCCCAAATTGACAAAATGGCAAGGGCTTACATCACGTTTTTTCTAAAAATCGTGGTCGGTTCGAAAATCAAAACTTTTTTGATGATTTGTTTTGAATATCTCAGGTAAATATAGTCAGATTTTGAAATGTTATACCTCTTTGTGTTCGTATGGATACGTACTATCAATTGGCATTCAAACATTTTAAAAATCGATGGGTAAAAAAAAGTGGTTGACCAAAAACCGATTCGTTTGTAAAGACAACCCTTTTTGATGATTTTTTGGATTATCTCGGCCAAATAACGTCCGATTTGGGAATTTTATACCATTTTGGACTCGTAAGGATCATTAATATCGATTGGCATCAAAAAAATGAAAATCTAAATTTTGGCCCAAATTGACAAAATGGCAAGGGGTTACATCACGTTTTTTCTAAAAATCGGGGTCGGCTCGAAAATCAAAATATTTTTGATGATTTGTTTTGAATTTTAATAATAAATCTAAATTTTGACTCAAATCAACAAAATAGCACGTGTTTTCTAAAATCGGGGACGGTTCGAAAATCAAAACATTTTTGATGATTTGTTTTGAATATCTCGAGTAAATGTAGTCAGATTTTGAAATAAAAAAGTGGTTGACTAATAACCGATTCGTTTGTAAAGTCAGCTTTTTGTTGATGATTTTTTGGAATATTTCGGCCAAATAATGTTTGATTTTGGAAGTTTATACAATTTTGGACTCGTAAGCAGTACAGTAAAGAAGTGAAAAAGTCGAAATTTAGATTTTCACTTTCTTAATGCCAATCGATAGTACTGATCCGTACGAGTCAAAAATTCTGTATAATTCAAATATCGGACCTGATTTGGCCAAGATATTCAAAAAAAAATCATCAAGAAGATGGACACCATTCCAGAGTTGCTTTCTTGTTAAAAACGTTTATTCAGTTGGTTACTAGTCGATAGTATGGATTCGTACGAATACAAAGAGATATAACATTCCAAAATCAGACTTTATTTAACCGAGATATTTAAATAAAATTATCAAAAAGTTTTTTCGTAACGACCCCGTTTTTGACCAAAATGCGTAAATATTAGTATGTGTTTTTTTGAATGCAAATTGATAGTTGTGATCCTAACGAGTCAAATATGGTATAAAATATGCCATTCGGACTTTATTTAGACGATATCGAGCCATGTAATGTTGTATAAAAAGATAAACTGCTCAGAATAAATAGCTGAGTAACGGCGATTTTGTAAATTTGAGTCGAATTTGTGTCGATGGTTCCTAGATGCCCTATATATCCGTGGTTATTCCATACCATCGGTAGAGTCCTGGAGAACCTACATAACCTAAGACTTGCAAAATGCGCCGGAAAATGGTTGAAAAATATGTAAGCTATTTCTCAGCCGCCCCTAGCAACAGCCCCTTCCTCGTCAATGGTTCGTAGTTCACTCCTACTGAGCCTAAATATACAAATCCCTGCATAATTCGCACGGAAATGGTCCACAAATATGAATGCTCTTTATTCCAGCGGTTGCTTACCGGTCAACCTAACAGCTGCAGCTACCGACCTTACACTCTATTGCTAATAAACTAGCAAGTCAGCAGAAGCCTAAAATGTTTGCTTCTTTTACGTAGGCACGTAGGCAATGCAATTTTTCGAGTGCAGTTTTTTTCTCATCATTTGTAGAGCGGCGGAGTCACATATGTCGTTTTCGAACCTTCCAAAATTTGACCCATTTTAACAAAAATGGCAAGATGATACTTCACCTTTTTGGCCAAAAACGGAGTCGGTTCGAGAATCAAAACTTACTTGAAGATTTTTTTGAATATCTCAGGTAAATAACGTCTGATTTTTAGACTCGTATGGATCCCCACCATCGATTTGACAAAAGGGGCACTATTTATGATAAAAATGGGATCGTTTAGGAGACCAAGAAAGTTTATGTTTTTTTTGGAATATCTCGTCTAAATAAAGTCCGAATGGCATATGTTATACCATTTTTGACTCGTACGGATCACGACTATCGATTGACATTGTCTTGCCGTTTTTGTTAAGTTTAAAGCTCTGATCCGTAGGATATTACATACATCTCAAATTAGAAAGGATCCGGGGTTAATTTTAATGAATAACAAATCCTTATTTTTTTACATTTTCAAGGAATTTTAAAATTTATATCTGGTGTATGAAATGTTATGGAAATAATTGACAATAGCTTTTAGAAACACGACTAGATCAAAGCATCCATCCTAATCATAATCATATTTTATGCACATATCATCCCTTCATGCCACGATTCGCATGGAATATAGCCTTGCTGCTTCCAGGACGACGCTCCTTTGACGCACTGATGAGCCTGTCGCGCAAGCGACGCATACTGTATGTGGCCACCGCCTGCCTGTGCGCCCTGCTCCTGGTGATCATCATCATGCTGCTGGCCTTTTGGCCCGAGGTGCCCTTTCACATGCGTGCACCGCTCTGCCTGCAGCGGGAGTGCGTCGAGAGCAGCCGCCAGCTGCTGCTGTGGGCCAACACGTCAAAGAGCGCCTGCCACGAGACTTACGAGTGGGCGTGCGGCAATTTTGCCAACGAATACGCCGACGGCGATTACTATGTGATTAAGCGAGGCGAATGGAACTACAAGACTTACAATGAGTATCAGGGTAAGAGCTATACTGTTTTTCAACCTATGTATGCCTAAAATTAACTTTGCTCACTTTCATTTAGAACTCAACGAACTGAACCGCTTCATATCCATGCTGCCCAATGTCGCTGAGCGAGCCTATTCGGTGGAGTCTACCATCAGCAGTCTCTATCGCAACTGCCGCGACATCGATGCCCTGGACAAGAGTCAATCGGATCTGCTGCTCAAGCAGGCCATCAAATCAGTCGGTGAGTTGCGAGAACCAAACGAGAACAGCGACTTCTTTAAAGAGCTGATATTTGTGAGCTCAATTTTAGTTCGTAAATTTTACATTTTGGACTTATGTTGGATGTATTTCGCTGTCTCTGCTCGGGTGGCAATATAATGAGAGATTGGTTAGACTATTATTGGATTTTAATACTCTTATTCTTTTTCATCTGAGAGTAAGGATATTTAACTAGCATGATTGAAAACATTCTATGTCATCTATCTACTATCCGTATTTGTTATTACTGAACTTTAATGAACTTTAATTCTTGTTCATCTGAGAACAAGGATATTTAACTAGTTCGATTGAGAACATTCTTAGTCATCTATTATCCATATTCGACAGTCCCTGCTCGGGCGCCAATGTAATTACAGATCTATTATTGTTTACAAATGTTATTTTTAACTACTTTGTAATTTAAAGCTATTAAACTATTTTAAACTTTTCTCAATGGCAACTGAGATTCCAAGTGACACTTCCACGTTACAATTATTGTTCATCAGAGAGTAGTTTTATTAGGGAGCATAAAAAAAACACTGTATTGACTATTGCAACTAAAGTAGTAAAAAAAAAATAGTTGTTAGCTGCTGCTGAAGCCTGTCTAATGGCTAGGCGGCAGATATGTCGAGCTCTGGCTGCTCCTGTGCACATTGCCCAGGCCGATGCTGCCGCCGCCGCTGCCGCTGATGATGCCATGGCTGCCAGATTGGCCGCTGCTGTTGATGACAGTTTGGCCGCCAGCAGAGCCGTTGCTGCCGGCATCCAATATGCCGACAACAGATTGGGCAGGTGCCACGCCCCCATCGGTATGTTCCGAGCTGCCCTCGATGCGATCGTATTCGGCTGTGTGATGGAAATGTGTTTAAGAAAAAGGGCAATCAGAAATGGCATCTGAATGGCAAACTTACCCTGAATCTGCTGCTGGGCATGAGATGCCTCTGCTTCGGTCTTGTACTTGATAAAGAAGACTTCCGGCTTGCTGGGAATAGTGGGCGCGGGTGTTGCAATATCGTTGACCTCGAGCGTAGAGTCCTTCTTGCTGAGCACATAGATGACAGTCTTCTCCTCCTTGGGTGCATACTCGGCCGATAGCTTAACGTTGGCGCTGCTCGACGAGGGCGCCTTGATGAAGACGACGCGATAGTTCTTCTGGGGACGACCAATAACCAGATGCTTGACACGTTCCAGATTCTCATGCTCTTCGGGCGCGGCCACAGTTATGAACTGTTTGTGCACAAGTGGCGCTTCAAAGGCAACGCGTTGCTCCTCCTGCTGTTGCTGCTGGTTGTTGGGCGCCTGGTATCCGGCAAGGCCTCCAAACCCAATGTTGGGCGTGGGTCCAAAGCCGGCAAAACTGTTCGCGCCACTGTCAACGCCGCCATAGCTGGCGCCGCCAAAGCCAGAGGTGGTGCGTCCGCCATTGTAGCCGCCGCCGCTTTGGGTATAAGTGTTGCCCCCAAATGGAGCAGCGCCACCATAGTTCGAGGATGAGCCGCCGCCATAACCAACCGTGCTGCCGTGCTGGCCATGTCCTGAGCCGCCGCCGGAGCTGCTCAGCAGTGACCCAACACTGGCACCCTGGAAGGCGCCCAGTGGTCCATAGCTAGCCACATTTTGGGAGGCGCTAGGTGCGCTGAGAAAAGAGCCACTGTGACCGCCACCGCCAAGAGTACCAGAGACGCCGCTGCCATAGTTGTAGCCCTGCGGCTTGGCCTGCGCCAAGGCGAGGAGCGTGCAAAGAGTCTGTTACGTGAAAGGAGAGAGACAGTTCGTGTGAGCGTGACAGGCAGCTAGCAGGTAATCCTTGGGTTATCCTTAGGGCCTTACCACAAAGAGACGCATTTTGGAGTTAGACTTGGTTGGGCTTCAGTTGTTGATTAACTGTTGCTGCTCCTCGCTGCCATTTGGGTTTTTATAGTCGATTATTTAGGCCCCAAAGCGATTCCCTCCTCAAAATACACAATATTCAATATACACTATTCATATTTCTGTTGTTGTTGCTGTTGTTGCTATCATTTGATTTTTTTTTCTTCTATAATATCGTGGCTAATTAATTGCTCAATTATTTGGCTATGCGAACCTCTGACATTTGACTTGATGATCTACTCGACGCTCGTATCGCCCTCTCGCTCCCACTCGCACTCGCATCAGGTCTCCTCTGGCTTCCTTTAATGTGACCTGTTGTGTTTGATGGCTGTTGTTGCTGCTGCTCTTCGTGGCCATAAATCAAAGCTTCAAGTGATCAGTTTGCAGCTCTTCACCGGCCATTGACAACGCATCAGCATTAGCTTAAACAAACTGATTAAACAATCAAACAACATCTCTTTTGGTTTCCGTTGCAGTTTTGTCTTTGCAGCTAGATGCGAATTCCTTGAGATCTCGAAATGATCGATTGCTTAATTAATTTATGTGCAGAACGCAACTGACTATATTTGTAGCTAAACGCTATTTGTTGTCAGCTCAAGATTAAGGCCATCTGCATTAGTTGATATAGGGGCTAAAATAATTACGCCAATCAACTAAATCATAACAATATCTGTGTCCAATTCGTGTTTGCCATCATATCGCGAAAGCATCCCCTGAAAATATAAAATAAATCTAATTAGATTTTCCAATTAAAGCAAATTTTTATAAATTAAATTAAGCTGTTTAAAAATATCTGTTTGAATTCATTTTTCAAATACTCTCACTCAAATTCTTCTTTTACTCACCCCTTTCGTCGATTTCGGAGCCTAGAAGATCTAGAAATTTGTACCTTAAACTAAAAGTTTTGAAAATCGAGTCTTTTGTACCTTAAACTAAAAGTTTTGAAGATCGAGTCTTTTATTTTCATTATGTCAACATATGCTCTATTGTAAGTGTTGCAGGGTATCTCCTAGTCGGGCACTCTCGACTAGCACACCCTTACTGGTTTACTGATAATGTTATTAATGTACGCAATTTGTCTGCTGTCTGGGCTCAAATGTTCAATAGAACGGGTTAACTGTTTTCTGTTTTTTTTTCCCCCAAACAAATTCTCTGGGATTTTTTTCTCGAAGATTATACGCACCTTACTTCCGCAATGGGATTTGCGTTTGACGTACTGTGCCATTACTAATAAGTATTTAATTATGTGTAAGCCCCCAAGCGAGAGCTAAAGATTCGTGGAATAATATTTCTCATTCGCCAAACTTAATTATATTGATACTAGGCTACCTAATTATACGCACACAATTAAGTCACAAGCAACATGAATGAATCAAAGTTTGGTGTTATTCAATAATATTGGTTCTTTTTCTAGACGGAGTGCTCTGATAATTTGAGATTTTAATACATATTTTGATAAGGGGTATATTCAAGTTATGCAAATGTGGGAAAATCTACGAAATTCGTAATATCCTATTCAATTTTTTCATGACCCGTTCATGAGCTGAGTTTTTATATATAAGTATCTTACTTTGATTTTATTATTATTTATTTGTATATATGATACGCTGAGAAAGCCCCTCTCTTCATACAATTTTCTATTTGTGTTTCTCAAATGATTTTGATATAATTTTTATTAATTTTATCATTGCTTATACACCTTTCGACTTTCTATAGCACGGTACAGTTATTTTCCCTCCCTTAATCAATATTTTACTTTCACTCTCTGTCATCTCTGTTCGCCTTTTTCCTTTTACTGTCACTGCCTCGCTCTTGCTCATTCTTAAATATTATTCTTAAAAATGCCAAAACAGATTCAAATTTGTATACTCTGTTTGCAATATGAAAAAGCATATTCTTTTTAGGCAATGTGTGCCAGAGACTTACAATTTGAAACTAAACCATTTTTGGACTACTCCCATTGAGGGGCGAATCCCGAAATCTATATCTGAACACAATTTTATAGTTACAGTCCTTAAGAAGTCTATTGATGTCTTCTTCTAAAGATCGAGGCAGTTTCATAGCCAGAGTCCTCAAGTAGTCTTCTCCTCTAAAGATCTAAGCACATTATGGCGCCCATATCCACTGGCGCCTACATCATGTGTCCCCCGATCTCAAGTCACAGTTTGAAAGTAATTGTTTTGGGCTAACAATCTCAGAGTTAACGCCCCAATAATCAGGAATACTCACATAATCTGTTCCAAGCTGTTATTACACTGTGAAGAAAAAGGTTTCAGACAACAGCAACATATTTTTTCATGTATCATTGAGCACGAAGTTCGGGATCCAAACCCCTTAAGAGTTTATTTTTATAGATAGAGTATGCAATAAATCATTCTAAATTCAAGTGAATTGTTTTAGAAGACTGAAAAAATGCTAAGAGAGCTACTAATTGAATAAATTAAACCTTGCATAATGGGCATGATACAGGTAACTTAATGCAAGATCTTTCCGAGTTACATGGCCGAGCAAGTTCGAGACAATTCAATGAAGACATACTGGTCACACTTGTCGTCGCTGCGGCTGGGTCTCTTACCAAATGTGCAGTCTGGGTCTGGGTCTGGGTCTCGGTGTTTGTAAATTGAAGCATTTCCATTTGATAAGAGCAACCGGTGGCGGCACGCATCTAAACAAAAAGATGACTCGATTATGTTGTGTCATTTTGTATTTTTGGATAGCGGCTAAAAGCAGAAATTCCGAACGTCGTCTTATTTTATTTATATTTTGTGTATATTTATTTATTTATTTATTATTGAAAAATTTCATTATAATTGGCATAATTTGAATGCGCTTTGGGGCGAGGGCTTTGTCGGTGGTTTGCGCGGCCGACGATCTGGCGTTTACTTAAGACCACATTTTATATGGCTAAAATGTTATGATTTATGCGCGCTGGCCACCTTGAAATAAGCCGATTGAATACAACAACCCAGCAAATACCAAATACTTATTAGTCAGACGACGGTCTTTTATAATACTGTCTATATATATCAATTAAGCCAACTCTGTGGGTCAAGTGGCGCGGCCCAAACGAATGACTTAGAACACAAACTTCCTCAGCCTGGCCAATTAATGCATTGCCCTTGAATATCGCTTGCATAACCTTTCCTCCTCTATCGCTTTGGATTTTTCTTTTGTTTCTTCTTCTTCTGCTTCTTTTTTTATGCATATTTAAAGATTAATAGCTGCCAACCTGTGCGGTTCGGCTGCCAATCACAAAAAGGTCGCCCAGTTGATGTCCAGATATGGCCGCCGCTTCCACAATCCCATTAATTAAATGCAAATGCAAATAAATCTACACGAGCTGCTTGCGAAGAAGCCAAATGTATAAAAAGATGCATTGATATCTTGTATTTTTTTTTCACAATTTAATTATTTGCAAAATTTATGTAAATTTAACTTAAGTTGGGTGGCGAACTTAGACGAACCACAAAGCCCCTGAGTTAAATGCAGCCCAATTCGTTTAGTTGTCATTGGGACTTCCTCATGAAGTATTTATATTAAAAGTAAATGACTTTAGGTTTTCATTAAAAAAGCTAGAGGAACCTTCGAAATCTAGTTGAAAAGGGTGTTGTTATCAGCTCCTAATCTATTTTGTATTCGGTTTTCGTGGCATAAACATACATGAACATTGAGAAAAGCTGCTGAATTTGAGCCGGCGACCTGCCAAGCCACGCAAGTTCATGCCCACTCCTATGACTGCATTGTTGTTACTGTGTTCCATACAAACTTTGCCCACATTTTACGTCCACGTGGTAGCCGAATCAGCCAAAGCCGCGTCTTGGTACTCACTTGCAACCCAAAAGGAGGGAAGCTTCAGACTCTGGGTTGGTTGAGCAATCGGTCAGTCAGGAGAAACACTTTTATATAAATATTCATTTGACATTAAGTTAATTTTTAAATTTGACTTTGAAAAACAATTTAAGATGCAATATTTTAATCCTTTGCTATGCTGATTGTCCATATGCTCCGCACTGGCTTTAGCTGCTAATGTGCCTCGTTTGGCACAGGGTCAAAGCACTTTGCAAAAAGCGCAAAAAATAACTTCATTTAAAATAAAAACAAACAAAAAAAAAACACAAAAGTTTGCAAAAAGTATGCGAAACATAAAAAGAAACACTTTGCGGCTATTGAGCTGAACCTTTTTTTTTATTTACGCGTTCGCTAACTTTTATGACGAGTTTTGTGGCTGTTGCTGCTGTTGTTGTTGCTGTGTTTGGATTATTGGGGTTTTATTTTAATCGGTATTGTCTACATTTTGAACGCTTATCAGTTTTATGCAAATGCTGCTACCCGGCAATGTTAATAAGCTACTTAGTGGTGCGCATGGGTCGATCGTTAATTCGACACCACCCAAACGCCAGCAGCACCGCCGATCTTCAAAGAAAACGCGCCGTGGGTCGCTGATACTCGTAGCCATCAGCAGAAACAGCACCAGCAGCAGCATTTGGCTTGGCTGCATCTAGGGCGCCAATTACGGACTGCACTGGCGCCACATAGGGCGCCGCGAGCTCTGTGTTGCCGCCCAGCTGATCGTATTGCGTTTGAATTTCGCGCTGAGCGGCGGCCGCCTCCTCGTTTGTCTTGTACCTGATGAAGAAGACTTCCGGCTTGTCTGACGACTGCTGCTGCTGGTGCTGCTGCCTGGGCGGCTGAATGTCGTGCACCTCCAGCTCCGGCTGTTTGCGGCTCAGCACATAGATGACCGTACGCTCCTCCTGCGGCGCCAGCTCGGCCGTGTACTTCACAGCCTCGCTCTGAGCGCTGGGTGCGCGTATGAAGATCACACGATAGTTGCGTGTCGCGCGTCCAATCAGCAGATGCTTGGAGCGCGGCTGCAGCTCCTCCGAATCCTCAGCTGCGGATACGCTATAAAACTGTTTGGTAATGATTGGAGCTGGTGTCGCAAAGCTTTCACTTGCCGCCGGTGGCAGATAGAAACGTGTCCGCACATGAGCCTGGCTCAAACCCAAAAGCGCTGCCGAACCGAGAAAAATGAACACGCTAAACATGCCGCTGGTGGATGCCACAAAATGTGTGAGGCAGCCGACAGTGCTATTTCAGTTTTATATATTTTTGTAACAGGGAGAACCCCAAAATTTTGCACAGATTTCTGGCCCAATTAGTAGCTGCAAAACAAAAGACTTAGGCAAAAAACTTGCTGCAAATTAATTGTGCGTTTGAATGAAAACAAAAGAGCTGTTAACAGCCAAATTATTACCACATCATTTAATGCTAAGATCTTCAGATAATTTTTGTAATATGCTCACGAATACTGTTTAAGCATGGCTCGAATTGGGCCTTAAACTAGGCGAACTTGGCTTGGATGGATATCTGATTTCAGCTGCATTTTTTTTTTGTATATTGTCTCGATTTGCTTGGACATCGTTTTAGCTGCATATTGCTTAACTGATCTTGTTATAGATTCGCCTTATTTCAGGCGAATCATTTATCTTTTATCGTTGACCAAAACTCATGTAGGCAATGTCCACAGCATCATTCAACGCCCGCGCACAGTTTTTATTATTTTTTGACTAATGGGCTTGTGCACGGCTAGTGTGATCTAATCTGCGCTTACGTATGCTCAATTCACAGCCTTTGCATTTGTCCAAATTTTGAATTTTAAAATTCTTGGTTTTTTTGTTTTACTTTTAATTTTTGGTGCGTTTCGCAGCCTCGCGGCTGATTAGTAGATTAATTCGTTTTGCTTTGGCTGCGTTGTCAACAAGTCGAGACAATTAAAATATCAACAACGATATTTTTTTATTTGATTTTTGATTTTTTTGTTTATTTTTTTTTTTTGAGAATTCGACTATCTGGCGGCTCCCAGCCGCAATAGGCTTGACATCAATTTTGATTGCGGCTTCGATTCAGGCCTCGTTGCGCATCGATTTGCATAAATTGACGCGTAATTCCCACACGTTCCCGTCCCATTGGCCAAAATGGTACTGCTAATTTGATAGATGGGATGTTTTATAAAAAATATAAATAAAATGCTGCTATCTATAGGCTTAACCATTGCATACTAATAAAGAAGTGGAGGGTCTTGCAAAGTTTGCCTGAAGGGCAATTGAATATGTGCCGAGGGATAATTCTTTAAAATTTGAACAATTACAAGAAAAATACCTCCCTAACCAGACAGTTTAAGTAACAATCATGTGAGTTTGTAGGCGATTAACATAATTTAATATTTAATAAT